AGCAGAGCAGCTCGGCCACGCTACAGGAGGGGGGTAAGAAGAAGTAAGAGAGGGGGGAGTAAGAAGAGGGGAGAGAAGGGTAAGAAGGGGTAAATAGAGGGGAGGGGCAAGAAGAGGGAGGGAGGAGTAAGAAAGGGGGAAGAAGGGGAGGTAGGGTAAGAAAGGAGTAAGAAGGGGTAAGAGGGGAAGCAAGAAGAGGGGGAGGGGGGAGTAAGAAGGGGGTAAGAAGAGGGGGGAGGGGAAGTAAGAAGAGGGAGGAGTAAGAAAAGGGGAGGGAGGTAGGGGAGGGGGGAGTAAGAAAGGGAAGTAAGAAGAGGAGGGGAGTAAGAAGGGGGTAAGAGGGGAAGTAAGAAGAGGGGGGGGGAAGCAAGAAAGGGGGGTAAGAAGTGGGGAGGGGGAGTAAGAAGGGGGTAAGAAGTTCTTTATTTGAAATTTAAGGTTTTTTTTCCTGAAATTTCTTTCTTAAAATGAGGTGCGTGTTATACGCCGGTGCGTGTTATACGCCGATAAATACGGTATATGTAGAAAGTCACACAGAGTTGTAATGGTGGCATAATGGATCCAAAACTGCTCTTTTATTATATAATAATGGCTTCCAGCAATGCAACTGAAAGACAAAAAGCGAGAGTTCCAATAACAATATGAATGTAAATGTGTGCTTCCAACTATTCTTTACCGGGTCACTAACTGCACCCCCACCTATCGAACTGGACCTTCCATGTCTGGTGCATTGTGCCAGGCTGTGGTTATTAGATAGGAGACCCCCAAGGGTTGACAACTTCATGGTGGTGCTGGGGTTAATTTTCCTAGTGCCCCAATATATCAACTGCTGTTCTTTTTACAAAATTCATATTACAAAATTAGCTTATCTAATTAACACAAGCTCATTAAAAAAAAATAAAGAGGTATGTTTTAATAGTGGGCTGATTCTAGCTTATTTAGTTAAGTTAATCAGGGAACCTTAATAACAACAACACAATGTATTTAATATATATATATATATATATATATATATATATATATATATATATAATGGACAATTTTACATTACTTGTGGTTTTAATAATCTCTTTTTGTATGCCCTCTTTAAATTGACACATATGTTTAAGTTTGTATGGTCAAATAAACACACAGAACTAAGATATAATGGACTAGGTACACCAAGCATAACTAAAACCTATTGTGTTTTGCCCTTATTTTGACTATGATTGTAAATCAAAGATTATACTAGATTTAGTGTACTAATAATCTTAATTTTAGTAATGACAGGAGGCGAGTATTTTGCATAATTTCTCTTTACTAGCTCCACATAGAAAAAAAGATCCAATCACAAGAAAGTAGTATGTACATGAGGTATAATGACCTAATCACTTTCTCTTTCAGAGAGTGACATCAAGCAGAAGCAAACTTATAACAAGCAATACCAATAACTCCTAAATCACACATCCGTAAGAGCAAACTTCCCGAGAATTCCACATGAACAACCAAAATGTCTTCGGGGACGAATGAAACTGAAAAGAAAATGTGTGAGAGGTTTAGATACATAGTCATGAACGTGGAAATCCAAGTAACACACAGTATACATCATTCCATAGTAGTAATTTGTAAACTACAATCTGATAACTGAACAACAATCATGTAAAACTCCAATGACAATTCCAGACCAATGGAAATTAAATCATCAATGTAAACACAAAACATAAAGAATCCAACCTACCTTAGACCAGTGATTCATATAAAGAAAGCGAACAGAAATGGTGGGATAGCAAAGCAGGGTGGTAAAATACTCGCCTCCTGTCATTACTAAAAATTAAGATTATTAGTACACTAAAACTAGTATAATCTTAAATTTTACAACATGACAGGAGGCTTAATTTTTTGCAATTTTAACTCTGATAAAGTAATAGAAAACCAATGAAGAATCTGAACAGTGTGACGAGAGACATAGACTGCCGGGAAATAAGGAAAAACATCCACGTCGAACGTCCGGTACATGACGGAAAAACACCAGACCAAGCATAATAGTCAGTCAGCAGATGCCCAGTCTCATAGACAAATGGAGAACAATCTCCATATTACATAAGCTGGAGGTGGATGTGACTGGGTAGTTGGTACACAAGAGGATCCTTGCCCATCGGGAGTCCCCAGACATGGGTAGTTGAACTGTCCAAACTCACCACATAATGGATCGAGGTTCCGTTCTAAACACCAACCAGACCGGGAATGCCCAGATGGAGAGGCAGCATTGTTGCATTCCTTGGGGCCCAAGAGTCTTCTAAGAGGTAGCTAGCAGCCTGCGATAGTCCGCCGATCTGCCAAGAACCCCAGAAAGAGTCCAGGCCACCAGCGTCAGCTTACCCTCCAGGAATAGAAGATGTGGGTTCCCCTTCGGGTCCATGAGAAGAGACAGATATAAATGTAGGAGGAGGAGATACTCACCAGCCAGTTCCTGAATGTCCGGGAAACAAGGTTAACTCCGTCACAGCAGGATGGCCAAGGCAGTGTTAGTCGCTGAACACAGTGGTGATGGAGAATCCTTGCAATCATTACAAAGGAGGGAAAAGCATACGCTCCCCGGGGAGGCCTATCTGGCAGGAATGCGACTACCATTGTGCACTCCAGATCCGGTAGCCAAATGAAAAACACTGAATTCTGGGGGTCCCTCTGAAGGTTGTAGAACCAATTTGTGTTGAGATGTGTCTCCACCGGGAGTTAGTCGACCCTCGGGGAGATCCTGCAAGGAAGGCAGAAATCGAAGATGCCTTTCATGATGTCTGATAGGAGATGGGAGCTGGCTCTGTCCAGGCGGTTACAACAAATGGAGAACTCCTTTACCAGTCTGTGGATAGTGGAGAACCCCACTAAGAATTCCAGGTATTAAATGAGAAGGGAGAATTCCTGAGTTGTGCACACGCTTTCCATGGGTGCGTTCTTGCAGGTTGTCACCGCAGCCCCACAAGCTGGTATCCGACCCCAGAACGAAGTCCGTTTGGTCTTAGGGGATCGTCTGAGGAAACCTTACCAGGAAGGGCTGCATGTCCCAGTAACGTAGCAGGTCTGAAGAGATAGCCTGGATGGAGGAGGGCAGTAGCCTATGATCTGTACGAGTGTGTGGTAGGTCACGGTATTGCAGTGGAGAATCGTGCAAATTTCCTTGAGGATAGAGGAGACCTTTGAAGGGGAAAGTTTTAGTGTGCAAGACGCAGAGTCGATTACGAATCCTAAGAAGTGGACCATCCACTATGAAACACAATGATTCCAGCCAGACCGCAGAGAATCGCGAATGTTGAGGCAGTCTTGAATTCTCTGAACCAAACAGAAGGATATCATCCAGGTAAATAATGCAACGCATTCCCCATATGTAATTGATCACTGGTTTCAGTCGTTTTATGAGGCCCCCAAGGATCCGAGCTGAGGAGGCAGGTGAAGTTCCAAGGTTGATCACATCACAGGAAACATAGAGAACGTCGTAAAGAGAGGTGGAAAAGGACCGACAGGACATGTCTTCATATCCAATTTCACAAGCCAGTCATCTACGTGAAGAAGGTTCCTTATTAAGTTTGAATACCTTTCACCTAGAAGCGATGGTATCTCATGTGGGTGTTGTAGCAAGTACAGTCGATGCTACCCTAGGGACGCTTACCTGAGGAAAACAGGATCTAGCGCATCAACGCGTTCCGTGATCTTTGTCCGATCATCTGGAGCACTAGAAGGTTGTTTCTCACCCACTTCGGGGTCAGATGGCCCGAAGTAGTTGGTGACATGGTCCCGCTGTCAACCAGTCCTGTAGAACACCCCCTGAGGAAGTTACCATGTAACATCCTTGGGGACCTGGCTCTAAATGCCGGCAGGTGGCATAGTACATCCCCGCCGTCCAGGGGACTTACCTGCTCGCTGGCTATCCCCCACGGCGATCGGATTGGGGGTACTTTCCTGGAATTCAAGGCAGTCCCCCTGCTGTCGATTCAGCCCTCCTAGACCATGTGATTGCGAGGACCTGACGATCACATGGACGGAATAGCCGTCCATAGCAGTGACAGCAGGGGGAGTGCCTGGAATGACAGGTAGTCCACCTGCTGCCTGAAATAAAGTAAAATAAAGTTTTAAAACAGTTTAAAATTAAACAATATATACTATTTATATATATATATATATATATATATATATATATATATGATTTAAGTATATATATATATATATATATATATACACACTCAAACATACATACACATACACTGACTAAGTGTATTTTAATATTAATATATATATATATATATATCAAAATACATGTAGAATGATATTGATTAAATATATATATATATAAAATATAAAATAAATAAATATATAAATACATTAAAAATGAAAAAAATAATATATGTATATATATATATATATATATATATATATATATGTGTGTGTGTGTGTGTGTGAAATTTCGTTCTAACTGTATTTTGATATCAAAATACACTTAGAATGGAATAATATATATATCTAATGTTTAGAGGACGACTTTTAATAATATTTAGAGGACCATTTTTACAACTAAATACATTAAAATCATCTAATTTGCAACATAACATTTAATTTTAAACCAGAAAGCATCTTCTATAGTTTCTTCTGTAGATTATCTCTGTTTTCACTTTTTTTATTTTTTTATTAAGAAAATAGAAAATGTTATTCATTAGTGGCAGAAAATTGAGCAATAATGTAGACAACTGTCACACCATGATGCCTTAAACCATTTACAGTGAAAAGGTGTAGTATGATTCAGTCATTGTTTGCTTTAAAAAATATACAATATAGGTGCAGTATACGTAAGAAAATTATAAATATAGAAATAAAATTAAAAATAAGAGCAGCTACACACATCCACTAGCGACTATAGATGAGTATAAGCTCAAAGGTTAAATAAAGCGTGTGCGCTCTTTACTCATAAAACATTAAGAAAATATAAACCAATCAATAAATCAATAATTTATTCTAAAAAAAAATATTGTGATAGAATAAATACCAAATAACGAGGATAAAAAACACAGGTGATCTAGACCTGCTGAGATGAGAACAAAATACAATGTATCCCTTAAAAAGAGCAAATATAATCCTACAGCAATACAGAATGCATAAAGGGGTCAGAAGGATTAACTCAGACACTATGTGAAAAACAACAAAGTGTCAGAGTATTATCCCTACCAGACCCAGATACAAATATAACAACTGTAACAAGTAATACTCAATAAAGTGTATACAGAAAAGTACCTTTCCTCGGTGTGGGCCCCCCACCGAGGTACATACACAAAGCGTGTAGAAAAAATAAAAAAATGATGAATAACACGGGCTGGAAGCGGTAGTGAAATATTTGAAGAGATGGTAAAATCCAGCAGATGGCATACAGGGTTCCTCAAAATGCTATAAAGTATATCGCGGTCGGGATCTTCAAAAAAGACCGCGATATATACTGGACTCACTCACTGCCGCAGCTCGTTAAAGCTTCAATACCAGATAAGTTCATCCGATGGAAAAGAAGGAAGGGAAGGAGAAGAAGATTGTTTGCTTTAATACTGGCTAATTCAAAGCTTACTAGCAATTTTTATTATGTGAATTTACAGCGTAATCTCGATTAAATGCATTTAGTAGAGATTAAACTCTTTTTTAGTAATTAAATACAAAACAAAGGAAACAGCGCTAGAGAAACCGATATTATTAAGGAGGAATATTGGAGGCAGCAAACCTAAGGCAGGCCTCCCTCTAAGCCCTACTGACAAGAATAATACAAGAGGTAAAAAGAGAAAGGTTGCGCCAAAAGGATAAAACTTTGTACTGAGAAAAAAAAAATATATAAAAAAAGAGTCCAATAGCAGTGGTTGGTAGTCATAAACTAAAACCCCAAATAATAGCCACAAAAGAGTCCTAATACAAATCTTGCCAGGGAGACAAGAACAGTCTGTTTAGGAGGAATGTTCTCTGTAGGAGCCGGATGGAAACAACTTTCAGGATCCGTATGTGGAAACAAAAAAAGTATTGTAGTGCAACAAGTCCAATAAAAGTTGATATTTCTAAAACAATAGGGTCTAATGTAGTCCTACTCACGTGTAATAGAGCTTAAAACCAGCTCTAATATGAATGGCATACAGTGGTACAATCCCCACTTATTGAATACGTGAAGAGGTGTAAAGGAGACAACAAATAGTGCTCACTGTATAAAAAGATAATAGGAGTATAAGTAACAAAGTGTTTACTCACATTTAATTGAGCAGGGTGACTGCTCAATGAATCAGGCATAAGTGGTATAATCCACACCTTGGATTTCTTTGTAGTAATATTTAACTGGAATAATAAAATCCGGATACCTTTTATATATATATACTTATAAAACTTTGTAATGAGAAAAAAAAAAATATATATATATATATATACTTTTTTCTCATTACAAAGTTTTATACTTTTGGCGCAACCTTTCTCTTTTCACCTTTTAGTAATTTTTTCATCTTCCAAAGCATTCCCCCTGCACAAAATGTCACAAATATCATTATATGCCAGCAAGATCACACATTCCAAGCAGAAAGACACATGAAATTATTTTTTTAAGATAAAAAAAAGAAATTAAAGACTTTAAATATGGTAATCAGAAACACCAGTTCAATTTCAACCACTATTTGCATTCAAATATCATGGTTATTTTGACCATGATTGTAGACTGGTAACCTGGCTATACACAAAAAGTCATAATTCATTTTGGTTTGGCAAGCTTTGCTCTTTTAACGACCCCATGTATCATTTTCTGCTGCATTGTGGGAAGATGAATATAAAACACACAAAAATTAAATGTAAACATACACTATAGATACAGTAGTAAATTATCAGCTTACTCTATGGGAGTGTCTATTTTGGTCATTCTGTGAAAGACCTACATTGGCCAGATTTGTTCTAAATTCTTGACATTATTACCTGTTAACCTGATTTTATAGTGATCATGCATAAGAGTCATGAAAAAACTAACTTGGTTGGAATGTTTCAATTTCTAGCAAAATCAAATGGCAAATGTATATCTAAATTATCTAATAAACAGTGATTTTTTTTTTCTGTATTTGGGCAGTGGAGTGTCCCGCTAACTCTTTTTTATTTTGTTTCCTAATTATATAAAATGTTTGGTTATGAAGTGATGTATACCTTACTCAACTCATGGATTGTTTAAAAAACAAAACAAAAAAACCCCCAAATAAAATTGTCTTGAATTTCATGTATCTATTTATATCCTAGATCAATTTTCCTGTTGTGACCAGTTACCATAGAACATGCACCCTTATTCATCTGGTGCATAAGCTAAGAGCCATAGATCATCCATAGTGTTTTAGAATTCAAGAGTAAATAATAGACTTGTGTACAGTGATAAAATTCGGTTTGATCGAAAAAAAATTATGAAGATGAAAAAAGAATTAAGGATGGGTGAATTAAGGCCATATGTTGGCTTGGCAGAATTTAGATACCTGAAAACTGATTTGGGAAATTAATCAGATGATTTAAAAACATTTGTCCATTTTGCCTTTTAATTGGTTGGTAATTCGGCTACATTTCAGCCCAAATTTGAAAGAACTGCACTTTGTAATGAAATGAACATCCAAATCTAGTAATTAAGGAAAAACATCGGTAGAGTAGGATTCTCTTCCTTTCCTGTACCATCAATATTACTTTGTTACACAGATTACTGCTTTTTGAGTGGTTACGCTCACCTCTATTGTTCAACTTGTCTCAGTATGTCAGGCTGTGTTTCAAATAATTTGTATGTGCTCCAAATTACATTTAGAAGAATAGAATGTACACAAAGAAATATTTGTTTCTGCTCCCAAAATAAATAAATCTGGTGTGACTGCAGAATAAACCACAATCATACTTATTGTTGGTTTTATTGCTAATTTTAGGTTGAAATTAGAATTTCCCATATTACAGCTTGAAGCTAAACTCTGTTTACAAAACAGTATTTACACTTGACTAATTTTTGCAGATCAAACTAATTAAATCAATTAAACTGGTGATTAACCAAATGAAGGCTGATTGCAAAAATTAGTGGGTTCATTTTGAAGGAGTGGAAATAAGCTAATTACTGCTGTGATTACTTGAATATGGAGTACTTTAAATGTGGTATAAATTGAAACCTCATAGTGAATTAGACTAGGAATTCATTACAGTTTAAAAGCGCATCCAGGACTATGCTACTTGCTCACCCTGTGGGAGAATAGCTTGCTGCATTTTGCATGATGATAAACACTTCTATTCAGATTTTGCTCTTTTCGAATACAATAGACTAGCACTTTAGGCAACTTGATCTAATACAGTTTTAATGGGATGTATATCTATCAGAAACAAGAAGTAAATCCAGATGTTGTACTTGCGTATTGCACAGATGCTAAACGCAGATGGTGGTGGAAATTGACCTGGTGTCTCTGTATTACCATATCATTTAAAGACTACATTTTTTTTTATCTTAAAGAAAATATTTCCATGTGTCTGTCTGCTTGTAATGGGTGATCTTGCTTAGGGCATATAATTATATTTATGACATTTTGTGAAGGGGGTTTGCGTTTGGTATATGAAAATAAAAGATGCCAATTACTAAAGATGAGTTTAATCTCTACTAAATTCATCTAATTCAGATTCCACTGTAAATTTGCATTTTAAATATTGTTGGTAAGCTTTGAATTAGCCAATATTAAAGTAAACAACAACTGAATCATACTACAGCTTTGTACTGTAAATGGCTTAAGGCAGCATGGTTTGCCAATTGTCTACATTGTCTTGTTGTTTAATTTTCTGCCACTATGAAACAATACCGTTGATTATTTTTCTTTAACTATTTTTTAAATGAAAATGAGGAGAATCTACAGAAGATGCTTTCTGGTTTAAAATAAAATGCTATGTTGCAATTACATGTTTTAAATGTATTCAGTTGTAAAAGTAGTCCTCTAAACATCATTACCACTTCAGCTCCTTTAAAAACGTATGGTGCTTTGAGGCTTTTTGCTGACCAATAACACTGAGGAGGATAGTTATACTATTTAGTGCCAGTGACCAGACATCTCTCTGATACTCTGTCGAGTACTACTAATTAGTACTAATTAGTACCTCTCTGGTGATCTATGAATCTTGGTTTTATTTGGAAAACAATTTGGATATCATTTTAACCATACAAAATATGAACTCACCAGACAGTATGAATCTATTTCCAAAATGTGCTGAATATTATTATACATGACTTACCACATATATACCACATAATGTTGGTTCTATTTCAGATCTTAGTGGATAGACCACAGGATCCCCACCTCTCCTCTCTAATCACACAAATAATATTAAAAGCTATTAAATAAATACCAAGTGTTTAATTCCAATGCACAAACAATTATTTTGCAGAATCTAACATTAATGGATAACAATATTTGAAATCCTTGATATCCCCCCTATTGAATTCCCCTGGGACACCGATCCCAAAAAGGCATTTCTCAGACTTGATGCAGAACTGAACAGATCAGGAAATGTCCCTTTGGATTTTCAATATTCTGTCTTGGACAAAATACAAAAATAGTTTTCTTTTGTTTTGTTTTTTTCATGCAGCTTTTCCAAATGCATAATAAAACAATATTTAAAAAAATACCTTTTTAAAGTACTTGGTCATGTTGATCAACTTTAAAAACAGTGAAAATGTATAAAGGGCAGTTTTTAATTTTTATTTCGAAATAACTCTCTTTCAAAAAATAAAGTCATGCAATTGCAATACTTGGAATTAACAAAGTCAAATATTTAGAGCTTTAGGGTCCAGGACATACGCCTATATCGGTTACAAGTATTCCTACAGCATAATTATAATCTTATTGATCTATACTGAATACATGTTATATATTTAATATATAAATAAATAAAAGATGTTTGTTGTTTTTTTGTTCTTGCATTGTTCTTATCCAGTGCAAATTTTTAAGCATTTAATGTGTATTTAATACTAATCTTTAACACTATTTTAACACCAGTTTTCCTCACATTTTAATTATAAACATAGGTACTAATATCAATTTCCTAAAGGAAACAGTCCTGACTTGAAGACCTGGTTATTCTTGGGTAATGAGATGCACTAGTGAGCTTCCCTTTAATTGGTTTCGAAACACTGACATTGAGCTGCTATAACTTTATTAATTTGAATGCAGACAGAGCTACTTAACGAGTCTACCCAATGTTTGCATGAACAGGACCTGTCATGCTTCGAAAGTTCATAACAGCCTTCCATATTTAAGCTCTGATAACTTAATACGCACCAACAGAACATCTCAGAAGAAGCATATTGAGACACTTTAGTGCTTTATGATGTGTTAATTTGTGCCATTTGCAAACACAACTGTGAATACAATCTTCTGCACACTGTGCAATTAGCACTAAAGAGAAGATAGGACATTCTTATTACAGGGAGTCCCAGATGTTTTTGTCCTGGAAGCCTTGTGTTGATCTGTTCTTTGTCAGCTCTAATTATCTAT